GCAGGGAGCCCGATGCGGGGCTCAATCCCAGGACCCTGGGATCATGACCTGAGCCGAAGGCAGACACTTAACGACTGAGCCACCCAGGCGCCCCTTCTCCTGTTGGTTTTTAACCTGATTTCAGTTCAAAAGCAGAATTAAATAATAGAAGGTAGTATTTTATCTCTCAGTCTGAAAACATTGTTTTCAGTTTTATTATGGTGAATTTTTCCAGGGTTACATCGTTGTGATAAAATAACTATTATTAATTTCACCTTACCACTTACAGTATACTATTTGAAAGACTAACAGTTTGTTTTGAAAATTAAATTTTCAGATATAGTCAAGATATCTTAGTGCTTATGGCTAATTACAGTTTATTGCTTAGATTTGCAACTGCTGCATATATATATATATATATTCAAAGAAGAAAAATCCTTATGTTTCTGACTATTTATAGCTTTCGTCAGAAGAAAACTACCACAGCATTTGTTACAGCCAGTCAGATAGTCAGTGTGGTTCTCCTCCAAGGGGTTGGTCAGAAGAGTTGGATGAACGTGGGCATACCTTATATACCAGTGACTATACTAATGAAAAGGTACATTCTTTTTTTCTCATCTAGTTTTTTTGGTCAGAATCCTTTCATGAAATAGTTGTGTACTGAAGTTTTAGTAGTAGTTTAAAAACGCATGAAAATATTCTTTATTGTAATTCTGAAATCATGCCAATTGACAACATGAAAACTCATTATGTAACTACTGATTCATGGTTATAAATTGCTTATAATTACACTGATTTTTGTGGTGTCAAAACTGTTTAAGACAGACCTTTTTAAGAGTGGACCTATTGAGTGTCATTCTGTTTAGACTTCTTCAGTAAGCATATTTCTTTATATTTTTCTTGAGGAATGGTTTTTTAAGAATAGTGTTCTCAGCATATGTCACTATGATATACCACCTCACTTTGTATACTCCTTTTTCTTTTATAACCAAGTTATGTAAAACAAAAACCATGAATTTGGTACTTTATGATTAACTAGTTTGGGAATGCATATTGAAATTTTATGTATTAACATCTGGTATCATCAGAGAAGATAACTGGTTGGTTGTGCTTGCTTTAATTACTTCACACTAGAACATAAGGACACATTAGTTTTCATGTATTTCACATTTAAGATCACAAGTTAAATTAGCAGTACTTAGTCTTTTGCCCCTCAGAGTCCCTGTTTTACATCATATGAAGTTTTATTATTAGTGTTATTTAAATGATATTGAGTGAGAAATGTATTGGCTGCAGGAGGTAATTCCTAAGGGTTTGCACGAAGTTGGGCTTAAATTGTTCAGTAGTTTTATATTTGAAGATTTAAAAAAATATTCTCTTTTGTTCATTTCTCAACCCTGTTTTCAGAGTGAGTGTGGCACTGTGTCCAGTGTATATGTATATCTGTGTGTCTTTATGTTATATTTTCTTACGTTAAGTGGTGCTTGACATTGGAACTAACTTGACATTGGAAGAAGGAGAGAGGAAATAAATTCACATTTAGTACTGAGTTTACTTACTCTTACCAAACTTAAAATACAAATCTATTAGTATAAGTTTGTAAATTTTTTTTTACAGTGTTCTTGAGGAAGTAGAATAAAATTCACAAGAAAAATGTCTCTGGTTGTATAAGCTTAAACTCACTTTTAGTTAGATTTAAAAAATAACACTTTTTTTGGTTTTTGTGTTTGTTGTTTTACACCTGTTTTGTTTTTGTAGTGGCTCAAGCATGTTGATGATCAAGGTAGACAATATTACTACAGTGCAGATGGATCTCGTTCAGAATGGGAATTGCCAAAGGTAATAAACCTTAACATTGAATTTCTGTTTTAAAACAGTAGATAAAATAATATCTGCAAATGGCCTCAGTAGATTTACTTCAAAATTTTTATTCAGCTTTTAAAAAGCGAAACTTTTTTTTTTTGTAATTCATTGAGAATCCTTTGGCTAAATTTTTCTAAGATGTGTATGATCTTTGCTATATAATACTGATAATTCCTATTCAAAAATTCTTTTGGTTTAACTTGAAATCAGTTTTTCATCCTCCCTAGAAATAAGAATTTCCTTCAGTGCCAGTAAGGCCCTCTTACATCTAGTCATCTTACATATATTGAATTTTCTACATGAGGTTAATCTTATATTTAATCTTTTTTTTTTTTTAAGAGAAAAAAGCAACTCAGTATTCCAGTTTATTCTCGTATGTAAATATGTGTTGTAATTGTGTCAGTCATTAGCAGCATGTGCTGATGAGATCTTCTGGGGTTTCACTGGATACCTTTTTTCAGATAAGTACATCAGAGCTGAGTTTGTCTTAAGGCAGTGGGTTTCAAAGTGGTCATGTGCTTGTCACTATTAGTATCGAGATAATTTTAAATGATATCTGAGCAAACGTTTAAATTTTAATTGGTATTAAATGTTGATGTTTTAGAAAATGACAATGTTAGACATATCTATAGTGTTAGATAGACTTCAATTTTCAAAGAAATTTGTCTTTTTGCCAAAGTAAGTCAATTTAAAGAAAAGTACTATTAGTATAAAGATACATGGATATAGAAAAAATCACTAGATGTTACTAACTTGAAGGTTGGAAAACACGGTCTAGTAAATTAGTAATAATTGTGGTTTCTTCCTATGTGAATGTTATCTGGCCTCTAATTATTTTATGAAATTGTAAGGCTTGATACTAGTCTAATAAGATTTACAGCCAGTACTCGATTATTAAGAACACCTTTGTGACCTGTCTTGAGCTAGTAGCATAAGAACTCCATTATAAGCCTGAGAGCTTTTAAAATGCTAAGATAGCAAGGAACGATTTAGGTTGCTACAATGCAAACTTGGCGCAGGGTTCAGGGGTAGGTGGTGAGGATAAGGGAAATAATAAATCTTTTGATTAATTTAGCTATCACGTACAGTCCCAGAATTTTCTTGTGTTAAAAAGCCTTGTCAGATCTTCAAATAAGCTTCTGTATTTCTATATTTTACACATATTTTAGCATGTATTTTACACAAGTACTTTCTCTTTTGCCCAACTCAGCAGAAAAAACTAGTTTTAACCATTTTTTAATACTTTCAAAATGAGAAATTGTATTAAAATTTACATATAGACAATAGGATTGTTTTTTGAAAATAATGCTGTTTGCAGCATAACATTAGTGTTATTGATGATAACTTTTTATTTTAATTACAAAACTCACATGCGAAGAGTTATGAAGATATATCACATTGTGGGCTTTTTTTTTTAAGGCTTAATTTTTTTAGAACAGTTATAGGTTTACAGTAAAAGAGGAAGGTATAGAGATTTCTCTTATATCCCTAGTTCCTCCTACACATGCACAACCTCCCCCGTTATCAACATCACTCACCACAATGGTATATTCTTTACTAAGAAGAACCTACATTGACACATCATAACACCCAAAGTCCATAGTCTACCTTAGGGTTCATTCTTGGTGTTGTATATTCTGTGGGTTTGGACAAAAGTATACTGACATGTCTTTCATTATAATATACAAAGTATTTTCACTGCCCTAAAAATCCTCTGTTCACTACCTCCCCCAGCCCCTGGCAGCCACTGATCTTTTTATTGTCTCCATGGTTTTGTCACATTGGTTTTTTTTTTTTTTTTTTTAAGATTTTATTTATTTATTTGATAGAGAGCATAAGCAGGGGGAACAGCAGTCAGAGGGAAAGGGAGAAACAGGCTTCCCACTGAGCAGAGACCCCAATGCTGGGCTACATCCCAGGTCCCTGGGATCGTGACCTGAGCTGAAGGTGGATGCTTAACTGACTGAGCCACCCAGGTGCCTGTAACATTGTTTTTATTTAAAATTAACCAGGGGTGCCTGGGTGGCTCAGTCATTTAAGTGTCTGCCTTCGGCTCAGGTCATGATCCCAGAGTCCTGGGATTGAGCCCCGCATTGGGCTCCCTGCTCCTCGGGCAGCCTACTTCTCCCTCTCCCACTCCCCCTGCTTGTGTTCCTTCTCTCGCTGTCTCTCTCTCTGTCAAATAAATAAATAAAATCTTAAAAAAAAATAAAATTAACCATAAAGTAATACCAAGAATGAATAAAGACCCAAATAAAAATATATTAAAAGTGCCATAAATTGCTCCTCACATATTTCATGCTTGGCAGTTTTCTGTTACCACTCTTTAAAATTATGAAATATAATGCAGTAAAACATACATGGATTTTTTCCATTTTCATCATTAATTAGTACTTTTGGAATCTGATTCTGCAGATAAAACCATATTTACCTTTTAAACTTTGAAGTTGTACCAACCCCTCAAAATCCTATAGTGTTTTATAAACCAGAGAATAGCAGTTGAATGATACTCTAGCAACAGTTTGGGTTTTTTTGTTTGTGAGGTGTTTGTTTTGTTTTGTTCTGGTTTTTTGGGGGGTCTTTTTGGTTGTTTGTTTTACAAAGAATTGGGTATGAAATGGCCTAACTACATTTTCCCAGTTTGTCTCTTAATAAAACTTTTTAGTGGGAAATAATATTCCAAGTTTAATATGGCTATTATCAACTTTTAGGAGAAAAGATAAGATTAACAATATTTTTATTTGTAAATGAACTGGGAAGAAATTATAGAATACATCAGCTATTTTTCAAAACTGGTACCATTTATAAACACAGTCCTATTTAGTGATTAAATTGGAAAGAAAAATCTTATGGATAGTGGGAGCCAGAATATGTAATACCTATGTGCTGGGAAAGGAATATATATTTGGGGATATAACTATTCAATATTGAAAACTATGTGGCATTGATTGGTTCTATTGGGCTTCTAAAATATGTGTTCAGATTTTGACTTAAAGATACCAGAAGATAAATCTGAAGATTTAGTTCACCGAAAATGATTTAGATTATAGAAGAACAATATTTTATTAATATAATAATTAAATAATTTAAACATATGAAATTTTTGTTCCACTTGACAAATTCTAATTGTAGCTCCTATCAGTACCTCATCATTTGAGTTATAGAAGTATCTTTTGTTGTATTGCATCTTCCTTCATAGTAGTTTCTGACTGTGTGGAGTACTGAGATCAAACAAAAGACTTCTTTTGAGAAGAAGTGTGTGATTTGTCCCAGGTTGGCGTCCATTGAAAGAAAAGGCTTCCTGGATGACCCTATATAAGGAGCAATTTGTAACCTATACTTAACTCATAGCTAAATATTTCTATTTGTTTTTGTATTAACTCCTATACTTTCCCTGGTCGGAAGACTTATAGGTTCAACGTTAAGATACCTACTTGTGGAGATTTCCTGGGTGAAAGAAAGAAAGAAAGGCAAGGGACTGAGTCATATCAAAACCTTTCAAGGTAGTTCCACAACAGTGGAAATGGGTGCTGATTGTGATCATTGTTGAGCCATTAGTTTTGTGGTATTATCTCATTTTCTGCCACCATTTGCCACTTAGGATAAAGTCGGAATGGGCAGTTTCTTGAACTTCGAATTAAATTGAATGTGGGGAGAAGGTTTGATTTGGGTACAGTGGGAATGAGGAAATAAGACAAAATGTTTTAGAACCTCTACTTAGTAAATCCAAAATAAGTTCTGTCAGATGGTTTTGTAACCTCTACTTAGTAAATCCAAAATAAGTTCTGTCAGATATTAGAAACTTAGCTACTGTTTTCTGAGTACGTCTTTGGTGGTGAGCACTGTATAGATGTTATCATGAATGCAAATGCACAGGGCATGGTCTTTATCCTCAAGGAGTTTGCTATAAATCTGGAAAGAAGCATGTACATATGATAGCTAAGTGAGACAAAATATGTACACATATACTTTTATGCATACCTGACTCTAGATAGGGTGTGGGTAAAGGGGACCATAAAAGTAGACTAGAGGAAGGACTGAGAGGGAGAAATAAGGATGAATGAAAAGAGAACAAAACATCTCCCATTTAAAATGAGTCTGGTATTCAAAATTCCAAGTAAAACACATGAAGAACCCAGTGCTAATATAAACATGAAAAAAATCAAGAATCAGAACATTGTACTGCAGTTGAAATTAATTTTGTTAATAACTTAAATACAGACTTTAAATATATTGTAGATGTCTGGAGTTAAATGAAGGCTTTCATTTCAAAAGAACAAGAAGGGCAATCCTCTTGGGTCCCTTTCCTCTTTGGGAGCTTTGTGCTATCACTCAGTAAACTTTGCTTTGCTGCCCACCAAAAAAATAAAAAATAAAAAGAACAAGAAATTATGAAAAATCAAATGATATCTGAATAGGTGAATATGATAAAAAATAGAAATATTTCAGATGAAAACGCTAGTCATTGCAATTAAAAAGTGTGGTCAGTAGTATAAACTATAGACAGAAGGGCAGAAAGATAACAAATACTAACACGTAGTTAAGAGAAATGGAAGATGGGTGGGAAGTTTCCTATACTTAGAAACTAGGAATTCTAGAGGAGAGAATGGATGAAAGGGGGAAATAATATTTAAAAATATAATTTCTAGGAATTTTCTAAAGCTGAAGGAAAGCATGAGTCTGTAACTGGAAAATATGCCTTAAATACTGACCAGGATAAATAAAAATACATTTATATGTTGACAAGTTTTACTGGATGTGCGGAACTTCAGTATAGGGAGACAATTATAACAGCTATCAAAGGGTAAAAGACCAGATTACCTGCTGTGATAGATTACATCTTTGGATCCATTCTTTACCCATTCCTGTATCAGCGCTCTTTGCTGTTTACCTTTGTAGAGGCCTCCCACTGTGGGTGGGAGTTTATTCTGCTGTTACCTGAGTTGAGTCATGTGACTTGCTTTCCCTGATGATTT